GACTAGATTGTTTTTCGGCTAGAATGAAACGTTATTGCATTTCTCTCACAGATAAAAAACAAGTATAATTATGGTAGAAAAGTGAAAGTGATAGACTAGAAAAGTGAAGATCTTTTTAAACTTCATAATATATACAAATCTCATGATCTAAAGTGAGAGAAAGAATGGTAGTGCTGAGAATGGCCCTGTCAGGTGCATATAGGGAGAGAAGAAGTGTATGCAGATGTTAGAAGTATTACTTCTGCCATATTTATGGTTCAAAGGTCATGAACAAAGAAAAAGACCAGGTTAACAGCTTAATTTTAAAAATCATAAATCATTTAAATAATGGCTTATTCATAAAAAAAATCTATATTTTTGTTTTTTGATTTGATGATCTGGATTGATCGTAATATTTATTTTGTACTTAAACCCAGATGCTGCTGCATGTCTTTTTGGGAGATATTTGGAGAGGGTTATAAACATCGAGGAGATTGTGAAATCACTTGAAAAAAGTCTTTCAGATGAGTCTGAACAGACAAGCACCTAAATCTACAAGCCAGGAAAAGAAAATTCATTATTTCTGAGAAGGATGAGTGAAAAAAAACTAAAAGGATGGTGATTACTGCATTAACTGCAAATTAATAATATCCATCATCATAATGCTGATCACCTAAAATAGCAATGAGATCAGATTTAAACTGCTTAGTGTTTAAAACTTCTGTGGTTGTAATGACATTTTAATGAAAAGCATTCCACTTCTGCACATTTACAACATTTTCAAGTAAGTGCAAACATATAATTTGCCAGAAAAATCAACATTTATGTGCTTTCAGTCTCCAGATTGATAAATAATTCTCTTATTCCTTGTAACTGAGGAAAAGAAGTAAGCTACTGAGAATCCTGCTCTCGACGCTGAAAACTCTTGCTTTAAAATTTCTTTCACTTTAAAAGCATATGATTATGAGACAACCAGTGACCCCAAAAAGTGCTTCGTGAAAATATATTAGAACAGCTTTCCACTGACAAGTGTTTTTATATGCATATGGTACCAAAAGACAGTGATCAAATTCCTGAACACTGGGAAACAACAGAGTTTGGGAATTTTTTTTTTTTTAATATCTCCATCACTTACAGGGATGTTAGTAGAGAATGCATCACCCAGAGATTTTCAGATTGTTGTAAGTTAACAGGTGACTGGTGGACAGACTAAAGAACAGGGATTTGATCCAGAGGGATGTTGTGAGACCGAAAGAAAACTACTGGTCCAAAAATGTTAGCAAACAAGTGTCCCCGTATTACTGAGAGGCTAATTTAATGAACTGGAAAGAATCATATAAATGCTTTTCCCAAAAACATCTGTGGAGAGCAGGTAGAAGTACATTGCATTATTTTAATAATTTTTTGGATCTTGAGTGGAATTGGCCGCTGCTACATAGATAGATGATGCAGACTAAAACCTCATAGAAGCTTCCAAAGTTTAATTGCCTGGGTCTTTTTTTAAAATTTCAAAATCAGCTAAAATACACTTCAGTTTTTACTGCAGTTACAGACTTGAGTTTTAGAATGCACAGAAAATCTGGACCTGAGGACATGTAATCAAACTCCTCCATGAATTATGCTTGTGCATGTAAATGCAGCATCGCCCTTTGGACAGTAGCAGCATAATCACACAAAGCCAAGGGACTAATTAAATGTTAATAATCTGTTTCTTTGGTTCCCCCTTCTAGCCAGCTTCCCACAGCCACTCCTCTATTTCCACTTACAGATGCTGAAGTGCTAAATATTATCTCTGTACTTGAGTAACATGGTCATGGGATTCAAAGAGACCTCACACAGTGTGCATTTGAGCAAGAAAGGGCCTGGGCGAACTCCCTCCACCTTTCTTTTTCTCCCACTGTGGACCTGTAGAGCCTGCTCATGCCTCTGCCTGTCTTCTTGTATCACTTTTGGGATTGCTCATTGATTTCAGTGAATGCTTTTATCTGACTCAAATTCAACTGGCAAAGGATAATTCGTCTCTCAAAAATGGTGGAGATCACTGTAACCCTGTCTGGAAAGAGGGTGTCAAAGAGTACCTGCAAACAGAGCATAGAACATGGGGGAGTTATATCAAAAAGGAGGGTTTTGCTCAAATCTTTGTTGATGGTTTATTTCTCTTAAGAGCAGGAGCTCATATTAGTATATCACTGTTATCAGTTTCTAGTTTTCTGCAACCAAGGCTGGTTTTCCAGGGTGCTGAAAAGCTTGAAAACCACCACTTTTAAAAGAAATATTGTCTCAGATTTTGTTTTTAAAACTTAAGAAATAATTTTGGCGATATCTGTTATGCAAGACTCCTATCATCTTTGAAGTAGATAATTGAAATATTAACATGTCTTCAGACATGAGAGATCTAGGATACTTTGAACAATTTTAGCATTATGTTTTATTTCTTATTAAATAGGAGCATGAGACACACATCTATCTTTTACCATGGAAGTAATTAGATGTACATACATCTTCTCTCATTTTAAAAAACAGCTTGTTTTACCTTTTAGTTAGAGCAGGCTGATGGTGCATCACCTCTTCAGTGTTTCAAGTAAGTTGCTAAGCTACCTTAAGTCTGCTGCTACCAGTAATGAAACCCCATCCCACAAATATGAGTGGCAAGCACTAAAACAAATATGCCCCAAGAGTGCAGAGCATAAGTAGAAATTTGGAGGGGAGGGATAGCTCTGTGTGAGAAAAAAAAAGTGGGCTTTTCTTTCCATTGCTATAACCAATACTACACTTTTATGACACATTCAGCAAAAAATCAAAGATGGAGCATTATGTGGATAGCTTCTGGGTGAAGAGAGCAAATGAAAACATAAATGGGGATGAGAATGGAGACAATGTGCAGTAAAAGGGAGGGGCCAGGAGGCAAACAGACAGATAAGTGGATCAAACTCCCTAGAGGAAGTTTCTCTCTAGGCTCACCTGATCTAGGTCCACTTTAGTAGGTGAAGGGAGAGAGATCTCTGTGTTGTGGGCACTTCCAGCATGGAGAGATTCATGAAAGAAGGGATGTTGAGTGGCTGTTACCTTGGGATACCTTGCAGATTACACATTTCTGGATGTAGGTGTAGAAAAGATAGGTTATCTGAGGAGATGCTGTTCTCCCACATCAGTCTTTATATAATTATTCTGCAGTTCTGTTCTTTAATGGTTGGGTGTGCATATCCTGTCTATGTCAGGAGTTAGTGAATACTGTATAGTGGCCTGAGGATCAGTAACTAGATAAAAAAATCTTTTTGAATTCTGGTTTGCATTATGTCTTGACAGGAAAACAAATGTCACCCTTTCAGCAGCAAACTTCAATTTCAGGCATGCTGCTGGTAAATGATGTATTCCAAACTAATAAATGTGGGATTTCCTGTTCCACAAGTTATTTTGTTTGTCTTGGTGGTTTATGTTTCAGTTTTATGAAGCAATCTATCTGAAGAAGTACCCAGAAAATATTGACTGAGGCTTTTCTTCTGATAAAGGTCATCATAACCATAGCTCTACAGCAATCCAAACGTGAAAGTAAAATCACACTTCATCCTGATGCTGAGATGTTAAATACAGATAGTTGTGCTTCTACATGCATTCTGTCATCCTGTACCTCTTTATTAGCTGGTTCACTTTAAAACCAGCTAATGCACAGAAGATGAAAACATTTTGAGACATTATAGGAAATAGACTTTTGCATCAGGTACAGACCCCTCCAGAGCCCTACTGGTAGTCAACTGGAAATGTTCTTTGAAACAATTTCCTTGCAAACATTACTCTCAGGTGCAGTGACTGACTTTCCTATGGCCTTTAAAATCCATTTGTGTTTCAGGCTTCGTTCAGCATACTTATTTTTCAAACCTCAGTTGCAATGCTTGAAGAAATAACAAGAAAACAACTTTTGTCCTCTCTCTTCATGTTACTTTGGCAATTCTTTTCTTCTTTATTCTCAAGGGCTTTTTCTGACACACTGCACGCAAACTGACTTTCAGCTCATGCCCAGTAAGCCAGGGATATCCCTGTGCTTCTAGGGCTCCTGGGCCATGTGGATTTCTAGGAGATTTATTGATGCTTTTGTGTCATTGCCATTGTATGAGCTCTATTTCTTACAGGTTCCAACTTTGTCTCCTGCAGATTTCCTTCATCTGTTCTAAATACTGAGTTTTCTTTTTCTGCCCGATATCTTAATTCTTGATGGTGACTGGGCTTCTGAAATCAACTCCATCATCTTTTCCTTCTCAATAATAAGATTACTAAGAAGTCTATTACCTGGAAAAAAACTACTTCATTTAGGACCATTTATTAAGGCATTTGTGACTTTGGATCATGTTGGTTTTGATCCTTATCTTGCCTCCATATCTTAAAAATTATGAGAATCTCACTAGAGAGTATAATGCAACCTTGCAAACACATCCTGGAAATGGACAGCTAAGGCATAGAAAAGTAGCAAGGCAAAGGGGATCTAGGAGAGAGAACCAAGAGGAAATAGATATTCTTTTGCTTTCCTTCCCTGTTCTTATTTTGCCCCACATACAAAGCAGAATAAGTTTGTACCACAGAAGGGGCCAGAGTAAATCAGAATCTGAAAAATAAAATCTATCACTTCAGCTGCAAGAATTCTGTAAGATTGTTAGTACAATTCTGAAAGTTTTGCTAATTGAAAATCAGTATTGAAATATTATTCTGAGAAGCTAAAGAAGAGAAGCAAAGAGTAGCTTGTCTGCTTTCCTGAAGCTACTGGTAACTTGTGCTGCATCTGAACCTGCTGTGCTGTGCCATGCGATGTTTCACAGAGGCTCAGAATCAGCAGCCCCTCCACTTTCTGCAGCTCCTGAGTCCCATTGGCTGGAAAGAAAAGCAGAGGCGGAGAGTGCCCTGAATATTTTTCTCTTCCACACACGGTGAAACAGGCAGCCAGCATGCACTGCCTGACAGTGAGACTGGTGCTTGCAGTTTGAAAATAGTTCCTGCTCCGCAGCAGTCGCTTGGGCATTTTATGGTCACATCTTTTTAATGGAAAGCACCAAAAAAGCCTTGCAGCATCTCAGTGAACCAAAGAGGAACTGACCATAAGGGAGAATCTGATGCACACATAGAGACTGTTGGGACTCTGTGACATAGATCACCAAGGTAAATGTGATGATGATCAGGAACTGTATCTGTAAGGGTGTAAACCAGTTCTTCTGAGTCTGAAATCTTATTTTTTTCACAGCAGTTGAAGTGTTCTGAACTGCTGCCTGCCTCAGTCCTAAGCTTATTTTTCTTTTTTTTTTTTTTTCCAAGCTGAAGAGCCAAAGAAGGTTTTCAAAGGAATGCAAAAGGAACGTGAGTTTTAAAAGCAGGAAGCCAAAAGGGATCTCCATAAGATGAATTTCACCCAGCATCGTGGGACACTCCAGCCTCTCCACTTCTGGAACCACAGCTACAGACTGCACGGAGGAGCCAGCGAGCCCAATGCGAAGGGTCACTCCTCAGGAGGCTGCTACGAGCAACTCTTTGTATCCCCTGAAGTGTTTGTGACTCTGGGCATCGTCAGCTTGCTGGAGAACGTCCTGGTCATTGTGGCCATAGCCAAGAACAAGAACCTCCATTCACCCATGTACTTCTTCATCTGTAGCTTGGCAGTGGCTGACATGCTAGTGAGTGTATCTAATGGATCAGAAACCATTGTCATCACGCTGCTAAACAACACAGACACAGATGCACAGAGCTTTACCATAAACATTGACAATGTCATCGACTCAGTCATTTGCAGTTCCCTGCTTGCATCAATTTGCAGTCTTCTCTCAATAGCAGTGGACAGGTACTTTACAATCTTTTACGCCCTCCAGTACCATAATATCATGACAGTGAAGCGTGTAGGGGTTATCATCACATGCATCTGGGCTGCTTGCACAGTCTCAGGCATTTTGTTCATCATTTACTCTGACAGCAGTGTTGTCATCATCTGCCTAATCAGCATGTTCTTCACTATGCTCATTCTCATGGCATCTCTCTATGTCCACATGTTTATGATGGCTCGTATGCACATAAAAAAGATTGCTGTTCTTCCAGGGACTGGCCCTGTTCGCCAAGGGGCCAACATGAAAGGGGCCATCACTCTCACCATCCTGATTGGAGTTTTTGTTGTGTGCTGGGCTCCATTTTTCCTACACCTGATTTTCTACATCTCCTGCCCCTACAACCCTTACTGTGTGTGCTTCATGTCCCACTTTAATTTCTACCTCATCCTCATCATGTGCAATTCCATCATCGATCCACTTATCTATGCATTCCGGAGTCAGGAGCTCAGGAAAACATTCAAGGAGATTATATGCTGCTGTAGCCTGAGAGGGCTTTGTGATTTCCCTGGCAAATATTAAACCGAATGGATGGATATGTTACTGTATACACAACAGGCAGCACAGATTTCCAAGCCTTCGGATCCTCTTTCTCAGCAGAATTTGGTTTAAATCTTTAAGAGTGAGCACCTCTTTCTGTCTCCCCCCCCACTCCCATTCTTATGTTCCATTCATGTAGAATTCATATTTCTGTATAATGTTCATGATGTCTGTGGTTTGTAATTTATTTGGCTGGAAAGAGCAGTAGCACTTGATATCAGTTTGTAAGTAAGCACATAAATGTAATCATGAATGTGAAATAGTAACAAACATGAGCAGCTATATATTCCAACTGCTGACAAAATAAATATCTTGCTTGACTTACAGTACATATTGGCTGATATTGTTTCTTATTCTGTTGAAGTAATTATAGCTATCCACTACATTATATTCAGGTAAGAATAGAGCATATGTTTCTACATTAGTGGATTAAAGGTTCTCTGGAATTAGAAAACAGATTTTTCAGAAAGGCTAGTGAAGCTAACAAGTTGTATTTATACATTTTGAATTCTTCTTGTTTTGCTTCGCAGCAGTAATTCAATTTTTTGTTACAGTTATTGCCCACAAGAAACAATTGCTACACAGCCAGTTGAATGCTTGGGCTTTGGGTCGGGCTTGTTTTCAAGATGATTGCTGTATGTCTGAGAGTACCTTTTTGCAAAATTTAAATTGCTCCCTGAAGCATCAAACAGTCCTGGATATATCTACTAGACTGGCATCCAGGCAGACTAGCTCCCTCCATTCGGCCATGAAACAGGTACAATATTAACTTTGACAGTGCCAGCAGCAGTGCAAAAATTCACCGAGATTTACCTGGTGAAGATAAAGAGGGAAGTTCAACTGGAACATTCAGTCCTTGTTCTGAGGTGCTGTGGGGAATAAGGACTCTGTGCTCCAGATAAAAATACATCTTTGTTGAAAACAAGCTGCCTTCTATTATGAAATGTGGTGTTAGCAGGTGGGATCCACTGCCAGGATCTTTACACAGGAGTCAGGACAGGTGTTAATTTGGTCAGAGCACCTCAGCCCACACTGTAGAGCACATGGGTGTTGGAGGGGCAATGCTGTCACATGGAATGAGTCCCTGCTGATGAGGCTGGCTACTGACGCTCAGCATCTGGCAGCTGCTTGAATACAATTCACCTTTGCAGGCATCTACTCTCTGCCTCAGTTTCACCTTAAAATTCCACTCTCTTCACAGGTTGTTTTAAGGATCTCGGGCCCCTGGTATTAGTACTTTTGGAGGTGTTTAAAGCATAAATGTGACTACACAGGATTCTGTGAAGATGTCCCTTAGTATCTTGATATTTTGATGATATCAGCTTGTATGTAAGGAGAAAAAAGAGTAATTTATCTAGTCCCAAAAAGTATAAAACACAGTGAAACTTGTAGAAGGTCTGGAGAGTTCTGATTTAAGAACACAAAATTAAAAGTAAAACACAGCTCAGGCTTTAATCCTGAATGCTTGCTTTTCACCAAGATGAGCAGTGAATGAATGAAAAACAGGATGATCAGTCCTATTTATTTTCTTGGAAACAGATTGTTCTCTACAGCTGCTAGTTTCTTCATCAAAGAAAAGCATAAAATAAAGAGCTATTCAAAGAGACCAGTGGTTTCTATCTTGGATTCTCCAGATAGAAGCTGATATTTCAGTTGTGGGTAACTTTTCAAGATATTGTAAAACTACATTTGCTCTTCTTTTAAAGAGCATGAAGGACTTAGGGGGAGTCTTAGTGTTTTTAACTTCAGCTATTTATTGGACGAGCAAGAAAATCATTTGACTTTGTGCATTGAAGTCCCTTGGTAGACCAACAACACTAATATCAGGTCTCCTACAGCCTACTCTTGTGCTTGGTCCAATCCATGGACCCTGCTGCTTGCAACATCACTATTGCCTTTTCTCAGCTTTAACAAATGATATTTCCACATCATAACAGTCGCAGTGTGAAGGGTATTGAAATATATTTACTACATTAAGTCTACTATTTTCTTCTGGAAGAAACTATAAATGTTTCAATAATACCTGGTTCTACTGGGTATAGAATAAAAAAAGCCAAAGGAGGAGAACTAAACCCCAGCAGAGAAATAAATGAATGTATTTAAATTAATATTCTATTCAAAAATCCAGTGGGCTTTACTAAAGGCTTTTCCGTCTCCCACAAGTCACAATACAAAAATGCTCAGGTAGTAATGAAAGAAAATACTGATGCCAGTTTAAACAAGGCATAATTCCTGCTTGATCTTTGCTTCTCCTTACTTTCTATAGCTGTTTTAGGACTGAAAATTATGATACTGGGGGCTCCAGCTTTTCCTTTTGTAGTTCATGGGTGTAGAGAGGGCCCCGATGAAAGTGACCAAAGAGCAAGATACTACCTTAGGTGTTCTGAACATTACCTTGAAAGCCTCTATTTCTTCCCTTCAGATGTACAAGAAGCAGATACCTCTGAATTCTGAGAAGACTGTGTTTCAAAAAAACCCAGTGTGTATCTCTTTTATGCTTATTTGGACTAAGAGTAGTCAAGACAGTTGTTACACCATTAGGGTCTAAATTTCATTTATAAATATAATTTTTAAAACTAGCTTATTCTAGAGCTTTAGCAGCTCTGAGCCTGTTTAGCAGCACTTCTGTCTTTATTTCATAACAATAAATGTATATACATATATTTAAATAGAGTTTCTAATTAAAGAAACTCTATTAAAAGGAACTCCATCTAATTAAAGAGGATTTTTTCATTTCATGGTATCATTTTGGAGAATGCAATTAATTTAAATTGTTGAAACACCTGCTACATAGATAATTTCCCTATTCCAAAATAGCCTGTTTCTTCTGAGTAGCTTCAGTTTTCCAGAACCATAGGAATTATTGTTGTGAAAGATAAATAAATTAATCTAGCTTGTTGGAGAGTAGGAGGAGTGGAGGATTATTTTCCACAGTCAATTTTCTGGAGCTTTGTCCTTCTATTTGAAAATATTCCAAGAAAATGTGATTTCTTTCTTTAAATGACTAGGACTGTAATTGCTTTAGCACTTAGCATTTTGGTCATGTTAGATAACCGTAGTGGGCTGACCCTGGATGGATGCCAGACACCCACCAATACTGCTCTCTCATTCTCCTCTGCAGCTGGACAGGGGAGAGAAAATATAATGAAGGATTCATGAGTTGAGATAAGGACCATGAGAGATTACTCATGAAAGATTTGCTCATGAGCAAAACAGACTTGAATTAGAAATATTAATTGAATTTATTACTAACAAAATCAGAGCAGTACAATGACAAGTAAAATATGACCTTAAAAACACCTTCCCTCCACCCCTCCCTTCCTCACTCCCTCCCAGCTCTACTTCCTCCCTCCCAGGTGCACAAGGAGGCAGGGAATGGGGCCTATGGTCAGTTCACCACACATTGTTCCTTCAGCTTCTCAAGGAGAGGAGTCCTTCCCCTGCTGCACCACAGGGTCCCTCTCACGGGAGGTAGGTCTTCATGAACTTCTCCAATGTAAGCCCATCCCACAGGCAACAATTCTTCATATTACTGTCATTATTCTTGTTATTCTTGTCATTATTCCACAGGGAGAAGTTCTTCAGGCACAGCCTGCTCCAGCATGGGTCCCCCATGGGAATCACAAGTCCTACCAAGGAACCTGCTTCAGTGTGGGCTCCTCTCTCCACAGGTCTGCAGGTCCCAGCAAGAACCTGCTCCAGCATGGGTTTCCCACAGGTTCAGAGCCCTCTTTTGGGCATCCCCTTGCTCTGATGTGGGTCTCTTCCATGGCTTGCAGGTGGATCTTTACACTCCCATGGACCTCCATGGGCTGTAGGGGAATCTGAGATCCAGTGCCTGGAGCACCTCCTGCCCTCCTTCTCCACTGACTTTGGTGTCTGCAGAGCTGTTCATCACATGTGTTCTCACTCCCGTCTTCTCTGTCTGCAATTAGATCCGCACAGTAACTTCTTTTCTTCTTCTTAAATATGTTATCTCAGAGGAGTTGCCATTGTTTCTAACTAGCTCAGCCTTGGCCAGATGCAGGTCTGTCCTGGAGCTGGCTGGCATTGGCTCTGCCAGACCTGGAGGAAGCTTTTGGCAGCTTCTACAGAAGAAGTTGATGCAAACCCAATACAGTTGCAATTGCATGTTCTTCTGCAGCAAGGAAATGGTTTTGTCTCCATTTTACATGTGTAAGGATTTACATTTTTACTTCTGCTAAAAAAGAGAGCCTAATGGATTTATTCATCCTGCTAGAGTGAAACCTTTTCCTGAGCTAGAAATTGATTACAGTGTTCTCCACATTTGCCCAATAAGTGACTTAAATTTTACACAAAAAACTTTTGAAGGAAATGTCTTTCTTCTTCAAGAGGGACATTTTTTTAACTTTGAAGTAGTTTTGGAACAAAGCAAAAGACTCCAAAAAGTACTTAGAGGATGTAGTTGGTCTCAGTACAGCAGATTTTGAATGATGACCCAAAGGTCTTTTCAGGTCTTTTACATCTGAAACATGCTGTTGTCTGGAAGCAAGGATAAATGCTCTGATAGAGTCACATTCTTAAACATGCAACAATGCCTTCAGTTATGCCTTTAAGACATGTATGGTGTACATGTTATTAATGTAATCCTAAAATTACTCAGTTGCTGTTAAATTGATCCTGTTATACAGTGTTTATTTGGGCCTCCTCCATCCTCAAACCTAATTCTGGTGAAGAACTTTGATGTTGTTTATAATACACTGTATTGTTTATAGGTTTGTATAAGAATTGTAGTCTCAGTGCCACTGGAAGGAACTCTCAGAAAATGTACCCTTGGGCATGAAATCTTAATTGTTTATCCAGAAATTACCTTAGATTTTTAGTTAACATTCTGATCCCTTTCATCATATCTCAAGTATCGCAAAGTTTTCCCTTTATGTAAAATGTTTCTCTCACCAAAAAAAAAAAAGACTTCACATGTCATAGGAACCCTCAACTACAACTACAGATGCTCATTGTCATATAAACCAGGTTATGAATTAACCTTTCTTGGTTTTTCCCCCTTTTTTC